CGTCGGAACCTCCTTAAGGATTGATGCCAGCAATAGAGACAAGGCGCCGGGCCAGCTCTGTCGCAGTGTCTCGAGGGTTGAGGGCTCAGGGATGAAGGGTTTACCTGTAACCGAAAAGACCTACCTTTTTAGGGTTCCTTATTATGGTTTCTGTATATAGTTCCTTAAAAAGGTAGGTCTTTTCGGTTACAGGTAGGGCTTGGGAGGCTTTCGTGTTTGGAGGCTTGTCTTTGTTGCTTTTGCGCTCTTCAAGAGCGCACCCGACGATGTTGCTTCTTGCAAGGCTTTTGCTGAGGGGTTGTTTGACGGCACATCTGTTTAGGGCTGGGTGGATGTTTGTGGCGACTGGTTCTGGGGTTTGCTGCCACACACCTGCAAGCCACAGGTCCAGGCTCAAAATCAGGCCCAAGCTGTACTTCGTAGTTGACTGCTGTTCATGGCGAGCACCGCAAGAACTTCCTGGACCAATGAGACCATTGACCTACTCCGACAGAATCCACATATCGACTGCAAACCGGTTTTGAAGGAGTTGATTCCTGAGACCTTGAGCAAAGGCATCCGGTTTGTCTCTCAGCAAACAAAGGCGACGGAAGGCGTGCGGTCAGTTCGCTTAGATGCGTGGTTTTACATCCGACGTATCAGCGCCTCCGATGTTTTGAGGGCCCTGCGCGAGACGGGATTCAGCTCGGAGTCCGTGAGGAAGGATGTGGAGCATAGCATGCAGCACCAGAAAGTCTACCACGTGGTGATCCGAGGGAATGATCCAAAGTTCATGCCTTTCGGAAAGCGCGACGGACAGGATTTGGTGACGAACTACATCTGCGAACAGATGTCGTTCATCACTGAAAAAGTCGACCAACTACTGTTCGAAGATCTTTCGGAGCCTTCCAGCATCCAAGAGGCCATGGCTGATCATGCCTTCAACCAAATGCTTGAGCAGTACTTCCTTCGCGGCAAGCATGATAAGGAAGAGACACTCCATCTAGTAAGCCGCCTCAGAGGAGGAGGGAATCTGCTGCATACCTGCATCAAAGAGGGCCACCTGGACACTTTGAGATTGCTTCTGGACGAATTTACCCCGGAATCGCAGCCCGCAGCTCGGTGGAGAGCCTTGGCAGAACCCCTGCGCCCCGTGGGGCCGTACAAGTGCTCTGCGTTCCATCGCGCGGTCTTCGACGGCCGCCCGGACTGTCTTGCAGAGCTGGTGTTCTGGGCGAAGCGGCATGGGCAGGACATCACAGAGCTCCGGAATGTAGAGGAGAGGGACATCGCTGGTAGTCAAAGAGGCTTGACTTGCTTGGAGCTGTCCGAGCAAGAAGGTAACCTGGCTTGCTACAACGTCTTGGCGCCGCTCTTCGGTGTCCCCAAGAAGGACTGGGTTCTTGTTAGGGGCTTTAATTTAAGTTACCATTTACCATGATAAAGAAGCCATATTACTTACTATAGATCCATATTTGTGACAACTTAAACAAGATCCCTGAACAAGAACCCTAAACCCCTAAATCATAATCCTAAACCCCTAAATCCTGAACCCTAAACCCTTAAACCCTAAAGTCCCCTAGAACAAGAACCCAGAGGAGTCTGCCACAGATGCGAAGCCACGGGAGGCACGTGTGGCGGAGAGGACCATGGCCAGAGTGGAGCTCGCAAGTGCCAGGAGCGAGCAGATGCTTCAGCTTCTGGGCTCTTGTTATGGGATTTAAGTTAAGTTATCATAAATCGGGATCTATAGTAAATATTATGGTTTCGTGATTATGGTAACTTAAATTACATCCCGTAACAAGAACCCAGGCTTCGACCGATGACTCTTGAGAGCCCGAGCCTCACATGGGAGGCGGTGCTTGATTCCGTGCGGGACTTGAAGGCCAGCGATGCCTACAGAGGCCGTGATCCCAGCCAGATGGTGCTGAGACTAGAGAACCTCGTTTTCGTCGATGATCCCAGTGAAGAGCAGGTGGACCAACTCCTTGCGGAGAGTAGTGGCATGGCAGCTTTGGAGGCCAACTCATGTATTTGGAAGACGGAGAAGACAGCTCTCCGCTTCCTGGCAGTTGTCGTGGGACGCCTTGAGATGGAGGCTTCTTCCAGACTGCCCCCACGTATGCCGCAGAAGGTGCACGTGTCGTCCCCGACCGCAGAGGATATTCCTGTAGAGGAGGAGGGTCGAACCGATCGGCAGGTCGTGGCGATGCTGCTTCGATTTGCAGCTGCTTGCGGCAAATGGCCACATTTCTTGGGGGCCCGCAATGGCTTGATAAGCCGCATGCAGGCCTTGCGTCTGGCCTCGCAAGACACGCAAAGCCATGCAGCCACAATAGCCGCCATCTATGCTACACGTCTGAACTCCTTTCTGGGTCACCTCCCCAGTGATTTCGATGATGAGGGTCTGGGAGAGTGGCTGCGCAAGCAGGAACTCATGCCCTTGGCACGCGCTGTCTTCTCCCGCTTCTACAACCTCGACAAGCTGCTAGCGCAGGAGCCGGAGGATGTCAACCAGGCGTTTCTTGTTGCAAATCTCTCTAGACAATACTAGACCAGCATGAGGTAGGACCCCACCCTAAACCTCATACTGTATATATCCGAAAACTCTGAACAGTTTTCCCCGGACCCTCAACCCGTGAGTAACTCTTTGCCTCCAGGCCCTGGACTTTGCAGTGGCACCCTTCCTGAAGATCTCCTTGTCGGCCTGGTTCGCTGCCGTGCCTGGGCTCGACAGGATTTGGGTTTCTTAGTAGCTGAACTATTACACCCCTTATAGAACTGAAAGTGTACAACTTTTTATGCTTATGAACTCAGCAACTAAGGTTTAGGGTTTAGGACTTAGGATTTATGACACTTTCCCAGCTCGGACAGACCATTTCTCGTCGGACTGACCATTTCTGGAACTCTGCATTTCCCTTGCAAAAGGTGAAATCACGTGTTGGCCATTTTCCGAACTCTGAATTAGGGTTGGTGCCCAGATTCACCGCCAGCATTGGCCATTTTCTGAACACCTCAGTAGCTTCTTTAAAGATGTACTTCTGGGAAAGGGATGGTTTAAGGTGGTGGGTTCGGAGTTTGGGGTTCAGAAGGTAGGGTTCCGCCAGCTCCTCTCCTTCGTCTAAATCTTATGTAAAGTCCTAAGGTCGTAAATCATATGATGGGAAAGCTTGGAATAGCCCTCTTACTACAGCTGCTGCTGCTGCTACTACTACGACGACGACGACGACTACGATTACTACTAC